CCTCCAGCTACAACAACCACGCCACTGACCACCACTACTGCACCACCGACGCCCACGCCAACCCCTCTGTCAACCACCACACCCCTCACTCCACTGACACCTACACCGACCACGCCACTGACCACCACTACCACACCATCAACCCTGACATCGACCCCACTGTCGACCACCACGCCTATCACGCCACCTCCAACTACAACAACCAACGCCTATCACACCACCTCCAACTACAACAACCACGCCCCTAACCACCACTACCACACCACCAACGTCCACGCCAACCCCACTGTCAACGACCACACCCGTCACTCCACCAACAACTACACCGACTGCGCCACTGACCACCACTACGGCATCATCAACGCACACACCAACACCGCTGACCACCACCACGCCCGTCACTCCACCGACACCTACACCGACCACTCCACTAACCACCAGTACTGCACCATCAACCCCCAAGTCGACCCCGCTGTCAACCAACCCACCTATCACGCCACCTCCAACTATCACAACCACGCCACTGACCACCACTACCGCACCACCAACGTCCACGCCAACCCCTCTGTCAACCACCACACCCCTCACTCCACCGACACCTACACCGACCACGCCACTGACCACCACTACCACACCACCCACCCCGACACCGACCCCGCTGTCGACCACCACGCCTATCACGCCACCTCCAACTACAACAACCACGCCACGGACCACCACTACCACACCACCGACTCCCCTGCCAACTCCGCTGAGGACCACCACACCTGTCACTCCACTGACAACTACACCCACCACACCACCTACCACCACTGCTGCACCACCTACCCCCAGCCGGACCCCGCTGTCGACCACCACACCCGTCACTGCATCGACAACTACACTGACCACGCCACTGACCACTACTACCACACCACCCACCCCGACGCCGACCCCGCTGTCAACCACCACGCCTATCACGGCACCTCCAACTATACCCACCACCTCACCTACAACCACTACTGTACCACCGACCCCCACGCCTACCCGGCCATCGACCACCACGATTATCCCTTCACCGACAACTACACCGACCAGGCCACTGACCACCACTACCGCACCACCTACTCCGACGCTGACCCTGTTGTCGACCACCACGCCTATCACGCCACCTCCAACTACCACAACCACGCCACTGACCACCACGACCGCACCACCAGCGTCCACGCCAAGCCCTCTGTCAACCACCACACCCCTCACTCCACCGACAACTACACCAACCACGCCACTGACAGCCTCTACCACACCAGCCACCCAAACGCCAACCCCGCCTTCGACCACCACGACTATCACGCCACCTCCAACTCTATCCACCACCTCACACAGCACCGACACCCACAGTAATCCCGCTATCTACCACAACCCCTGTCCCTCCACCGACAACTACACCAACCACGCCACTGACCACCACTACCGCACCACCAACCCCCACGCTGACCCCGCTATCGACCACCAACAACTGCTGTACCACCGACCCCCACGCCTACTGGGCAGTCGACCACCACACCCATCACTCCACCGACACCTACACCGACCACGCCGTTGACCACCACTACTGCACCACCAACCCCGACGCCAACCCCACTGTTGACCACCACGCCTGTCATGCCACCTCCAACTATACCCACCATGTCACCTACCAGCACTACTGTACCATCGACTCCCACGCCTACCCAGCTATCAACCACCACAAGTGTCCCTCCACCAACAACTACACCGACCACGCCACTGCCCACCACTACCACACCACCCACTCCGACACCGACGCCGCTCTCAACCACCACGCCTATCACGCCACCTCCAACTATCAGAACCACGCCACTGACCACCACTACCACACCACCGACGCCCACACCAATCCCGCTGACTACCACCACTCCCATCACTCCATCGACTACTACACCAGTCACTCCACTGACAACTACTACCGCACCACCAACCCCGACACCGACCCCGCTGTCAACCACCACGCCTATCACGGCACCTCCAACTATACCCACCACCTCACCTACAACCACTACTGTACCACCGACCCCCACGCCTACCCAGCTATCGACCACCACGGCTGTCCCTCCACCGACAACTACACCAACCACGCCACTGACCACCACTACCGCACCACCAACCCCCACGCTGACCCCGCTATCGACCACCACGCCTATCACACCACCTCCAACTACAACAACCACGCCCCTAACCACCACTACCACACCACCAACGTCCACGCCAACCCCACTGTCAACGACCACACCCGTCACTCCACCAACAACTACACCGACTGCGCCACTGACCACCACTACGGCATCATCAACGCACACACCAACACCGCTGACCACCACCACGCCCGTCACTCCACCGACACCTACACCGACCACTCCACTAACCACCAGTACTGCACCATCAACCCCCAAGTCGACCCCGCTGTCAACCAACCCACCTATCACGCCACCTCCAACTATCACAACCACGCCACTGACCACCACTACCGCACCACCAACGTCCACGCCAACCCCTCTGTCAACCACCACACCCCTCACTCCACCGACACCTACACCGACCACGCCACTGACCACCACTACCACACCACCCACCCCGACGCCGACCCCGCTCTCGACCACCACGCCAATCTCGCCACCTCCAACTACCACAACCATGCCACTGACCACCACTACCACACCACCGACGCCCACGCCAACCCTGCTGATTACCACCACTCCCGTCACTCCATCGACTACTACACCGACCACGCCACTGACCACTACTACCGCACCACCAACCCCGACACCAACCCCACTGTTGACCACCACGCCTATCACGCCACCTCCAACTACAACAACCACGCCACTGACCACCACTACCACACCACCGACTCCCCCGCCAACTTCGCTGACGACCACCACGCCTGTCACTCCACCGACAACTACACCCACCACACCACCTACCACCACTGCTACACCACCTACCCCCAGCCGGACCCCGCTGTCGACCACCACACCTGTCACTGCATCGACAACTACACCGACCACGCCACTGACCACCACTACCACACCACCCACCCCGACGCCGACCCCGCTGTCAACCACCACGCCTATCACGGCACCTCCAACTATACCCACCACCTCACCTACAACCACTACTGTACCACCGACCCCCACGCCTACCCAGCTATCGACCACCACGGCTGTCCCTCCACCGACAACTACACCAACCACGCCACTGACCACCACTACCGCACCACCAACCCCCACGCTGACCCCGCTATCGACCACCACGCCTATCACACCACCTCCAACTACAACAACCACGCCCCTAACCACCACTACCACACCACCAACGTCCACGCCAACCCCACTGTCAACGACCACACCCGTCACTCCACCAACAACTACACCGACTGCGCCACTGACCACCACTACGGCATCATCAACGCACACACCAACACCGCTGACCACCACCACGCCCGTCACTCCACCGACACCTACACCGACCACTCCACTAACCACCAGTACTGCACCATCAACCCCCAAGTCGACCCCGCTGTCAACCAACCCACCTATCACGCCACCTCCAACTATCACAACCACGCCACTGACCACCACTACCGCACCACCAACGTCCACGCCAACCCCTCTGTCAACCACCACACCCCTCACTCCACCGACACCTACACCGACCACGCCACTGACCACCACTACCACACCACCCACCCCGACGCCGACCCCGCTCTCGACCACCACGCCAATCTCGCCACCTCCAACTACCACAACCATGCCACTGACCACCACTACCACACCACCGACGCCCACGCCAACCCTGCTGATTACCACCACTCCCGTCACTCCATCGACTACTACACCGACCACGCCACTGACCACTACTACCGCACCACCAACCCCGACACCAACCCCACTGTTGACCACCACGCCTATCACGCCACCTCCAACTACAACAACCACGCCACTGACCACCACTACCACACCACCGACTCCCCCGCCAACTTCGCTGACGACCACCACGCCTGTCACTCCACCGACAACTACACCCACCACACCACCTACCACCACTGCTACACCACCTACCCCCAGCCGGACCCCGCTGTCGACCACCACACCTGTCACTGCATCGACAACTACACCGACCACGCCACTGACCACCACTACCACACCACCCACCCCGACGCCGACCCCGCTGTCAACCACCACGCCTATCACGCCCCCTCCAACTATCACAACCACGCCACTGACTACCACTACCACACCACCGACGCCCACGCCATCTCCTCTGACTACCACCACTCCCGTCACTCCACCGACTCCTACACCGACCACGCCACGGACCACCACTACCACACCAGCCACCCCGACGCCGACCCCGCTGTCAACCACCACGCCTATCACGCCCCCTCCAACTATCACAACCACGCCACTGACTACCACTACCACACCACCGACGCCCACGCCATCTCCTCTGACTACCACCACTCCCGTCACTCCACCGACTCCTACACCGACCACGCCACGGACCACCACTACCACACCAGCCACCCCGACGCCGACCCCGCTGTCAACCACCACGCCTATCACGCCCCCTCCAACTATCACAACCACGCCACTGACTACCACTACCACACCACCGACGCCCACGCCATCTCCTCTGACTACCACCACTCCCGTCACTCCACCGACTCCTACACCGACCACGCCACGGACCACCACTACCACACCAGCCACCCCGACGCCGACCCCGCTGTCAACCACCACGCCTATCACGCCCCCTCCAACTATCACAACCACGCCACTGACTACCACTACCACACCACCGACGCCCACGCCATCTCCTCTGACTACCACCACTCCCGTCACTCCACCGACTCCTACACCGACCACGCCACGGACCACCACTACCACACCAGCCACCCCGACGCCGACCCCGCTGTCAACCACCACGCCTATCACGCCCCCTCCAACTATCACAACCACGCCACTGACTACCACTACCACACCACCGACGCCCACGCCATCTCCTCTGACTACCACCACTCCCGTCACTCCACCGACTCCTACACCGACCACGCCACGGACCACCACTACCACACCAGCCACCCCGACGCCGACCCCGCTGTCAACCACCACGCCTATCACGCCCCCTCCAACTATCACAACCACGCCACTGACTACCACTACCACACCACCGACGCCCACGCCATCTCCTCTGACTACCACCACTCCCGTCACTCCACCGACAACTACACCAAACACGCCACTAATCACCCTTACTACGCCACCAACCCCCAAGCCAACCCCGCTGTCGACCAGCACGCCTATCACGCCACCCCCAACTACACCTACCACACCACCTACCACCACTACTGCACCACCTACCCCCAGCCGGACTCCGCTGTCGACCACCACACCCGTCACTGCATCGACTACTACACCGACCACGCCACTGACCACTACTACCACACCACCCACCCCGACGCCGACTCCGCTGTCAACCACCACGCCTATCACGGCACCTCCAACTATACCCACCACCTCACCTACAACCACTACTGTACCACCGACCCCCACACCTACTGGACTGTCGACCACCACGCCCGTCACTCCACCGACACCTACACCAACCACGCCGCTGACCACCACTACTGCAACACCAACCCCGACGCCGACCCCGCTGTCGACCACCACGCCTATCACGACACCTCCAACTACAACAACCACACCACTGACCACCACTACTGCATCACCGACACCCACAGGAATCCCGCTATCGACCACAACCCCTGTCGCTCCACCAACAACTACACCAACCACGCCACTGACCACTACTACCGCACCACCGACCCCCACGCCAAGCCGTCCTTCGACTACCACTCCAGTCACACCCCCAACAACTGCACTGACCACACCACTGACCACTGCTACCACACCACCAACCCCGACGCTGACCCCGCTGTCGACTACCATGTCCGTGACACCACCCAGAACTCCACCGACCATGCCACTGACCAGCCCTACTGCAAATCCGACCCCCATATCCACCCCGCCTTCGACCACCACTCTAGCCACCCCACCGACAACTACACTGACCATGCCAGAGGCCACCACTACCACGCCACCGACCCCCACGCCGACCCCGCTGTCCATCACCACACTCATCACTCCAGTGACAACTACACCCACCTCGCCACTGACCACTACTGAGAAACCACCTACCTCCACGCAAACCCTGCCTTTGACAACCACTCCAGTCACGCCACCGACAAGTATACCAACCTGGCCACTGACCACCACTACTACTCCACCTACCACCTCACCACCGAGCACACCTGCTACTCAAACAACAACCAGGACTACCACTTCACCAACTCCATCAACTGAGACACCATACACAAATACTCCATGTATAGCATGCCAATGGAGTGGCTGGGTGGATTCTGGTAAACCTCAATTTGTCAGGCCGGGGGGAGATTTTGAACGGATTGAAGATGTCTGTGCACCTCCCTGGACAGCTACCAATATTTCCTGTAGAGCTGTAGAGTACACTAATACTTCAATTGAAGAGCTTGGACAGATTGTGACATGTGATATCTCTGTTGGGCTGGTATGCAGAAATGAAGACCAAAAGCCAGGTGGGGTCATTCCTCAGAATTTCTGCATCAATTATGAGATCAACGTTGAGTGCTGTGGGCCATGTATCTTCACATCTGGCCCCACCAGCCCTACCGCCCTTATCTCGACCACCACACTAGAGACTTCAACTACAGCACCCACCACCACAGTAACCCCAACAACCACAGCCACCACCACAACCACAGAGACTACAACACCAGCCACAGAGACCCCAATACCTGCCACTACAACCACAGTGATACCAACCATCACACCAGGGACTACAACCACTTCCTCTACCACCACAACTACGGAGACACCAACACCCACACTCACCACTCCAGAGACTCCAACCACTCTCCCAATAACCACCACACCAGAGACCCCAACACCTATACCCACCACCACAGAGACCACAACCACTATATCAGAGACTCCAACCACTTCCCTTACCAGCACAACCACAGAGACATCAACACCCACACCCACATCCATTACTACAACTACAGAGACCTCAGCCACTACACCAGAGACCCCAACTCCTTCCACTACAACAGAGACCCCAACACCCACACTCAGCACCACAACCAAAGAGACCCCAACCACCACACCAATCACCCTAAAAACTCCCTCTATCATCACAACTCCAGAGACCACGACCCCAACCACAGTGTCCAACACCACAGGGACCCAGATCACCACAACTCCAGAGACCATGACTCCAACCCTAGTGTCCACCACTACAGGGACCCCCACCACCACACTGACCATAACCACGAGGACTACAACTCCTACATCTACCTCCACCACCCCTGCGCCTCCTGTGCCAACTACCACTGCGGTCACCTCCACCCAGACCAGTCTGTCTTCTACTGAGCCGACCACACTGGAGACCACACCGATCCAGACTCCCAGCACTGGTTGGGAGACCCTTGGCTCCACCCTTTCCTTCTGCTGCTATTTGAATGGCACCTACTATGAGCCAGGTACCCATGTTGTTCCTGACTAATGCTCAGGCATCTGAGGATGGTTTTGTTCCCTGCTGTTCCTGCTAGGTCAGGAACCAGGGTAAGGTCCCGACTAGCAGCTTGCTCCAGAGGCAGGAGGTAGGGGTTGGGAGGAGGAGGTCTCCCTGCACCAGGGCCAGTGTCCCCTGAGGTGGTGGGGTGGGTAAAATGTGAGGACTCCACCCAAGTGAGGATGGTGATCATCTTAGTCCCTTTTCTGTGGCTATAATGATGTACTGAACCCAGACAAGCCATGAAGAGTAGAGGTTTGTTTAAGGTACAGTTTGGGGGCTGGGATTCTAAGAGCAGGGTACTGGCTCCATGACGTGGCAGAGGGCATCCCAGGGTGAGGCTGAGCAGGCCTGATAGCTCAGGTGTCCATCTGTCTGCTTGTTATACAAAGCCACTAATGTCATGGAGGGGCCTCTCCCGAGGACCTCTTGGGTCCTGCTTACCTCCCAACGCCCCTCCTAATGCCCTTAACATATGAATTGGAGCATTGACTCGGGGAGTCCTGGGGGACAGGTTGACACCAGGAAGGGGCTCCTTCCTGTAGCCCCCTTGGGATCCGCAGTGCCAGCCCTGCCTCTGGACAGTGTGAGGACGGGGTCTTTCTCTCCCCTGCAGGTGATCTGGTGTACAACGGGACCCATGGGAACACCTGCTATTATGTAAACTGCTCCCTGGACTGCGAGTTGCAGTTCTTCAACTGGTCCTGCCCGTCCACACCCTCCCCAACGCTCTCAACGCCCTCCACATCAACACCCACTCCCTCCACACCAAAGCCCAGCAAACCAGTCACTACCAAGCCTTCTGGGTGCCCAGACTTCATTCCTCCAAGAGAGGTCAGTGGACAGGACTGGCTTTGTCCCCAGTACCAAGTGGGTCAGTGTCCAGGTCCCAAGGCCTGAGGTGCTACCTTTACTGGCCCACGGTGCTCTCACCACCTTGCCTGCACCATCCCCAGGTGAGGTGCCCTGTGGCCTCTGGGTGCAGGGTCTGCATGGGCGGGGTCCCTTCTTGCCGCACCTACCTCACCACCCAGGTGGCTGCTGCCCTGGGGCCCAGGAAGCCCCCCTTGGCCTCCAGCCCTGAGCGCAGCCTGGCTGACACCCTCCATGCTGCAGGAGAATGAGAGCTGGTGGCTGTGTAATTGCACGATGGCCATCTGCAAGCATGACAACGTGGTGGAGATCGTGGAGGTGGAGTGCAAGCCGCCACCCATGCCCACCTGCTCCAATGGCCTCAAGCCTGTGCAAGTCATGGACCCTGACGGCTGCTGCTGGCACTGGGAGTGTGACTGTGAGCCTCATCCTCCTGGGCCACCTCCTCTGGGGCGGGTGCTGAGGGTCAGTCTCCCGGTGTGGGGGGCCTGGGGCTTCTTGGGCTCGGACCCTGATTGCTAAGAGCTGCTGAGGGCCAGACGCACAGTCCCCCCCGCTCTCTCAGCCTGTCCCTCGTGTAGGGCAGGGGAAAGCTTGTGAAGTGGGGCAGGGGCTCTGTCTCTGGAATGGAGTCCCTCAGTCCTGCAGACGGCTATGGTGGCCTGAGCAGGGGGCACTCACTCTTCTGGGGCTCAGGCGCCCAAGGGTCCCTGCCTGGGAACTGCTGTCTTCAAGCCCCTCAGCTCCTGCTGATGCCTGGAACCACCTCCCCAATCCCACAGGCTACTGCACAGGCTGGGGCGACCCACATTTCGTCACCTTCGACGGGCTCTACTACAGCTACCAGGGCAACTGCACCTACGTGTTAGTGGAGGAGGTCACCTCCACGGTGGACAACTTCGGTGTCTACATCGACAACTACCACTGCGATGTCAATGACAAGGTGTCCTGTCCCCGCACGCTCATCGTGCGCCACGAGACCCAGGAGGTGCTGATCAAAACTCTGCAGATGAAGCCCATAAAGGTGCAGGTACGTGGGGTGTCCACCCTAGGCGTGGCATGGGCTCTGTCTCGCTTTGGTCCAGGAGACAGAGGATGGAGTTGCAGGGCTGGAGGCCGGGAGAGGGCCGGGTCCTCACTCAGGGACACATCCAGCTTCTCTCACAGGCCCCTGTGTGTATCCCCTGTGCCCACCTGAGCTGCCTCCCCAGCACAGGAGGGGTGATGGGGCACTGTGCCTAGCTGGGTCCCCCTCCCCTGCAGCAGCAGGCCCAGTGGTCACCAGCTCCGGGATCCTGCTTCTTGTGTGGGCTCCCAGGAGAGCATTTTCCTTAGTTCCCCAGGGACCACCTGGGCAGCATTTGTCCTGGGCAATGGAGTGGAAGCAGGAGGGGGCAGGGCCCCAGGGGAGGGCCACTAGGGTGGCAGGTCCCGGTGGCCCTCCTGACCCTCGTGCCGACCACAGGTACAGGTCAACAAGCAGGCGGTGGCCCTGCCCTACAGGAAGTACGGGCTGAAGGTATACGAGTCGGGTATCAACTTCGTGGTGGACATCCCAGAGCTTGGTGCCCTCATCTCCTACAATGGCCTGTCCTTCTCCATCAGTCTGCCCTACCAGCGCTTTGGCAACAACACCAAGGGCCAGTGTGGTGAGCCCCAGACCCCCTGCACCCGACTCCGGGTCTCCTGTTCCTCTGCTTGGGGCCATGGTCCTGGGCTTGGTCCCTTGGGGACCCCACATCAGCTGGCCCGGCTTGGTCGGCGCTCTCAGGCCTGGCTGAGGCCGTGTCCTGGCTGGGAGCGACGCAGCCCTTCTCCTCTGCAGGCACCTGCACCAACAGCACAGCAGATGACTGTGTGCTGCCCAGCGGGGAGGTCACCTCCAACTGTGAGCTGGCTGCTGACCAGTGGGTGGTGAACGACCCCTCCAAGCCACACTGTCCCCACACTGAAATCCCCACCCCACGCCCAGCTGTCACACAGACTTTGCTGGAGAACTGCACCCTGTCTCCCTTCTGCGAACTCATCAAAGACAGGTGACAGCCTGCTGGTCGCTGGCCTCAGGGAGGGGCAGGACCTCTGTGTTCACCGGAGTCGCAGTGGCTGGGACAGCGCTGCAGTGGTGCTGTGGGTGGGCACCAGGTCCAGGGGCTTTTTGATCCCATTTCTTTGGCCTCCTGGCACAGTGTAGGTCCCAGATGGCCACCAGGCAGAACTGGCACTCAGGGCTGATGTTGGGGGCTTGGGCTTGGGCACAGTATGGCCCAGAGTCGGGGTCCACAGCCCGGCATTGTGCCAAGGCTGGGGTTCTGTGCTCCATCTCTGGGCCCCTGGTGGCACACAGCGCTCACCACCTTCCCTTCCCTCTCTGGTGGTTACCGGAGGCGGGGCAGGTGGGCACTGTGTGACCCACCCCTCCTTGTGCAGCTTGTTTGCCCAGTGCCACCCCTGGGTGCCCCCCCAGCACTACTACGAGGCCTGCGTGTTTGACAGCTGCTTTGCTCCGAACTCGGGCATGGAATGCGCCAGTGTGCAGGCCTACGCGGCCCTCTGCTCCCAGCAGGGCATCTGTGTGGACTGGCGGGGACACACGAATGGGACCTGCGGTGAGTGCCACCAGCCCCTTCCCTGTCCTGCCCAGGAAGCACTGGGCTCTTCCGTGCCCACCCAGCCAGAAGTCAGAGCCCACTGGGCTTTGACCAGATATGTGGGCAGCTGGGTGTGAGGTCAGGGCTGAAGCCTTCGCCTCCGGTGGGGAAGGAGAGCCTGAGAGGCTGCGGCCTGGGAGTGCTGCCTTGCTCTGTGGCCTGGGCACTGTGGCCCAGCTGGGGAGAGCTCAGAGGGACCCCAGCCCTCTCAGAAGAAGGGGAGGCTCCACTCACGGGGGCTGTTTCTCCGATGCTTCCCTCCTGCAGCTGTGACATGCCCAGCTCACAGGCAGTACCAGGCCTGCGGGCCCTCGGAGGAGCCCACCTGCCAGTCGAGGTAGGCTGCTGGAAATTTGCAGGAGAGGGTCCCAGCCAGCTTCCACGCCCACCTCGGAGACCTGCCCCTGCCGGTCTGAGTCCCAGCCCTCCAGGCCCACCAGCCCCGCCCCACCCTCTGAGTGCTCCTCTGCCCCTCAGCTCCCCACAGAACTCCTCTTTCCTGGCGGAAGGCTGCTTCTGTCCGGACGGCACCATGAATTATGCCCCTGGCTATGACATCTGCGTGAAGATGTGTGGTAGGTCGCGCCCCACCTCAGTGCCAGGGTGGGATGCGGGAGGTGCCTGGGGCTGACCCCAGGAGTTGTGCTGACAGGATGGTTTCCTCTCTCTCCCCAGGCTGTGTGGGACCAGACAATGTGCCCCGAGAGGTAGGTCCTCCTCCTCGGGCTGGGGGTGGGACTCCCCAACAAGTCCCGAGTTTGGGGAGGTGGGGTGGGCCAGGGCGAAGAGGACCGGGAAACCAGGAGACTGAGTAGTGAACGTTTAACTTCTGGAGTAGGGAGTGGGGAGTCCACACATTCCATTGGTTTGTCCATCCAGTCACCATCCATCTGTCGTCCACCACCTCGCCATTGCTTTGTTCATGCATCCGTCCTCTTTTTGTCTCTCCCTCCATTCATCCACTGACCACCCAGGTGTCCGTCGGTCTCTCTATCCGTCCCTCCACCTGCTAGCTCATCGTCTGTCCGCCATCCATGACCCCCTCTGCCTATCCATCCGGCTGCCTCTCCTCCCATCACCCCACATATACCCGGTGGTCCCCTCAGTGCTGTCTATGTCTCCTGTGTGTGGCCTTGGCCATGTAGTCAACTCCTCACCTCCCTATTCGGTAGTGGGGTGCTTCTGCCTTGTGCCAGGTCATGCTGGCGGGTGCTGGGGAGCTGGTGCTGGCTTTGTGGTCTCAGCCTGGTGCCCTGAGTGAGCAGCCCTGACCCATCCCATAATGTGCCTCGTGGGCAAAGAGGTGGCAGGGGCACAGCTTTCCTGTGGCCCCTCAGCTGGGCACCCCATGCAGCTCCTTTCTCCCTGGCTGGCCGTGGGCCAGGCCTTGGTGAAGCTGGGGTGTGGTAGGGCCGGGCCTCCTCTTCTCCTTGCTCACCCTGTTTTCTCTGCAGTTTGGGGAGCACTTTGTCTTCGACTGCAAGGACTGTGTCTGCCTGGAGGGCGGCAGCGGCATTGTCTGCCAGCCCAGGCAGTGCAGTCAAGAGGCCCAGCCCACGTGCGAGGAGGAGGGCAGCTACTTGGTCACTGAGGCCAACCCAGCCGACACCTGCTGCAATGTCTCCTTGTGCAGTAAGGCTGCCCTGGGGCAGAGGCGGGTGGACCTGTCCTTCCCAGGCTGGGCTCACTGCAGCCCTCTGTGCGTGTGGCTCCCGCTGCCCGCTGTCTGTTGAGCTCGGGATGTGCCGGCCTGAGAAGCGGGCTGGCCTGTGAGGGTGGGGGGACCCACAGAAGGCGGGAGCCTCACGTCCCTGTTCCGCCTCAGGGTGCAACACCAGCCTGTGCAAAAATGAGCCCCCTTCATGCTCTCTGGGCTTTGAGTTGAAGAGCAAGATGGTGCCTGGGCGGTGCTGCCCAGTCCACTCCTGTGGTGAGTGGGGGCGGGGAGGCAGGAGGGAGGCAGGAGGAGGGAAGCAGCCTTCGGGGCCTTCCACCTGCACCCCGTGCCTCCGTGGCAGGCCTCTGACAGCCTTTGTGCTCTTTCTCTCCAGAGGCTAAGCAGGTGTGTGTGCACAACAATGCAGAGTACCAGGTGAGTGCCAGGCTGGGGCGGGGTGCATAGGGTGGCACAGCTGTGTCCTGGGTTGGGCTTGGGTGCTCGGGGTCCTTATCACCTGCCCCCATGTCTGCAGCCTGGATCCCCAGTGTTCTCCTCCAAGTGCCAGGACTGCGTGTGCACCCAGGAAGTCAACAGCAACACCCAGCTCAACATCATCGCCTGCACACCCGTGCCCTGCAACGTCTCCTGTGACCCCGTAAGCCGTGCTTCCTTGCTGGCCCTGCCTCAGTCTCCCTCCTCTGTCCCACCCATGTCACCCTCCCCAGCATGGATCTCAGCCCTCCTCCCCTGTGTCCCAGGGCTTTGAGCCTGTGGAAGCGCCCGGTGAGTGCTGCAGGAAGTGCCAGCAGACCCACTGCATCATCGGCTTGCCCAGCGGCCAGTCCATCATCCTGAAGGTGCTCAGAGGCTGCCCCGGTCCAGGCACTGTGGGCGGGGTGTCCCAGGGCTGCGGTGGCCTAGAACAGGAGGAGCAGACTCTCCTGGCTCTGGGGCTCCCAAGTCCAGGCTGGGGGCTCTGGGAGGGACCCTGCCTGTCGCCTACATTGCTGGGGCTCCAGTCTTCGCCTTTGTCTCCCCGTCTGTCTCCTCTGTCTCTCACAAAGACACTCATCACTGGATTAGGGCCACCAGACCCAGGATGGGCTCATCTCGAGACCCTTCACTTAATGACAGCTTCCAGGGCCCTTTTCCCAAATAAGGTCACTCCCTGGTTTGGGGGAGTCAGATGTGGCTATAGCTTTTTGGGGAGCCACAGACAGGTCTCTTGACCCACTGCCCTGGTTCTGCTTAGCCAGTGGCTCTGGCCCCACAGGGTGGCCTCCCGTCTGGGAAGCTACACCTGCTGGGGTTCCTGGCCTTCTGGTCTCCTTCTGGGGTCCCTGGCCCCTGTGCCTCACCCTGGCCCTACTCCGCCTGTAGCCTGGGGACATAGAGAGTAACTCCGACAACAAGTGCACCTTCTTCAGCTGTGTGAAGATCCACAACCAGCTCATCACCTCTGTCTCTAACATCACTTGCCCGGACTTCGACCCCAGCAGCTGCGTCCCGGTGAGGGGCCATCAGGGTGCTGGCTGCGCTCTCCCCAGAGTGGGGGACCCTGCTTTTCTGGGGGACTGGTTTTCTGGGCTGGCACAGTGGCAGCTGGCCTGTCTGCAGCTGGCCAGGCGGGGCGCTGGCCCTCCTGCCTGCTCTGCACCACTACCACCCCTCTCGCACCCCACCCCACCTCACCCCCGCAGGAAGGGGCACCCAGCCCTGCCCCGCTCACTCCGCTCTCCCTCCAGGGCTCCATCACACTCATGCCCAACGGGTGCTGCAGGAAATGTGAGTATCGGTGACAGGCGTCCCAGAGGAGGGAGGCGGGGAGGGTGCCCCAGACATCCGACCAGTGGACTCCGAGGAGCAAGCCCCTTCCCAGGCAGAGGAGGCCAGAGCCCTTGGGAGGGCTGAGGGCTGGTTGTGCTGGAGTTGGAGCCTGGTGTGAGGCTCTGTCCCGTTCCTCTGCCCCAGGCATTTCTCTAAACGAGACCAGAGCGCCCTGTGCCACCATCCCAGTCGTCAAGGAAATTTCATACGCCGGCTGTGCCAAGAGTGTCACCACCAACTACTGCTCTGGGTCCTGTGGGACGTTTGCCATGTGAGTCTGGCTGCGCATGCCCCCTGTGGGTCGGGGGAGGCGCCCACAGAGAGGCCCAAGAAAGGCTGGGCTGGCGCTGCCGGAGGAGGTACCTTGCCCTCTCTTCCTCCCAGGTACTCCGCAGAGGCACAGGCCCTGGACCACCTCTGCTCCTGCTGCAAGGAGGAGAAGACTGTCCAGCGCCAGGTGGTCCTGGACTGTCCCAACGGAGGCTCGCTGCCCCACACCTACACTCACATCGAGAGCTGCCTGTGCCAGGACAGCATGTGCGGGCTCCCGCAGGCCCAGCAGTCCCGAGTGCGCCGCTCCAGCCCCCGACTTCTGGGCAGGGCATGAGTGGCAGTGCCCTCCTGCATCCCACCCCACCCCGCCTCATCTGCCACCCTGGAAGTTTCCTCCCCTCTGCTTGGTTTCCTCTCTGCAGATATTTATTTTCTGAGTCTCTCTGATCTTCTGGTAATAAACTCACGCAGAGGTGCTGTGCTGTGGTCTGAGTTGGTGGCGTGTATCAGGTTGTGGGGGCAGTGGGCCTGACTGCTGGAAGAGGACCCCTTGGTCCCCTAGTCCTGGGCTCTGCACACAGGACACTGGGCCAAATGTGGCCTCTGGCAGTGCCATTTGTGGTGCTGTCTGCGGCCGGCGAGGCTTTGGTCCAGCATCATGATGCTGTGGCCACCTGTGTGCCTGTCGCACTTGTGTGAGGTGTGGGTGCATGTGTAGGGCCTGTACGAGTGTGTGCACACACATTTGTATGTGCCTCTGTGTGTACATGTGCACGTTGTGTGTACGCGCATACGGGTAGGGAGCGGGGGAAGCCTCGGGACTGGGACGGCATCAGATCCGCTGCAAACTGACAGAAGCAGCCGAGACTTTGAGGGCCCTTCCGGGCTGCCGGGAAGTTTTGGGGAAGAGCTATCCAAACCTTCTAACAGTTTGCAGGAGCTCTGCTTGGACACAGGGGTGGTGGAGGGCAGTGGCCCTGTGTGTGAGTGTGTGCATGTGTGTGTGAGTGCACGCACGTGTTCATGGTCCTGGGTGTGGATGCCTGCGCATACTTGGGAGCTGGTGGTGGCTGCTGGCCCAGAGGCGGTGCTTGCGGGCTTCAGAGAGGCCAGGCGTCCCCTCACTCAGGCAGTGGTGGGCGGGGGCGGACCCCCACGTACCTCTGACCATACGCATCCTTAGGGCCTTTGGCAGCTCCTACCTCAGGGAGGACGGCGGGTCTGGGCAGAGGCCAGGTCCCCACTTATGCTCCCCATCACAGCCCCCTGCTGTCTGGGCTCAGCTCAGCCCCCAGCTCCACCAGAGCAGCAGTGCGGAGGGTGTGGGGCTCAGAGCCAGTCCCTGTGCCGAGTCCCCCGCTGCCCCTGGGTCTGCAGATGCAGCAGGTTCTGCTCCTGAGGGTGTCCTGGAGCTGCGCTGGCAGCCTGTCCTGGCACTGGGTCCCTCCCCTGCCAGGCTGTTCCCCTCTGGGCCGGGCATTCCCCTACTAGGGATCTGTAGGACCAGGCAGAGGTGGTGAGGCCAGAGCCCTGGTCAGGAGGAGCCAGGTCCTGCAGCTTTGGCATCGGCCTGGGGAGGGCACAGGATCCCTTCCAGCCCTGCCTTGCTGGCCTTTTGTAAAGTGGGAGCAGCCAGGGGAGTCCTGAAGGCAGGCACCTACCCCCAGAGCTGGCCCCACACAAGGAAAACCCCAAAACGGGACTCAGCCAACATCACAGAGGATAAACTCCATGGAATTAAACAACCAATAACGGAAGTGTCTGGAACATTCTCCGTATTTGGAAACTAAGACACACATAGTTTGTTTTCCTCAGTACTGGGGATTAAACCTAGGGCCTGGCACTTGCTCTGCCACTGAGCTACATTCCAGTCCCCAGCACACACAGCTAAATAATCCCTGGGTCATCTGGGTGCCCCTGGTGGTGCACACCTGTGATCCCTGGAGTCTGGAAAGCTGAGGCAGGAGAGACCCACTTTTTTTTTTTTTTTTTTGT